GTCCTGCCCCACTCACTGAGCATCTATTATGTGCCTGACTGTATAAAGTTCTTATCTATAAGAACATTATTCCTCATAATGTCCATTTTGCAGATGGGAAAACAAAGGCTCAAGGGCGTGACTGGGATCCCAGGGAAGTGGTGCAAATTATGAGTGGAAGATCTGAAATTCAAAGCCAGGTGAGGCTCCCTTCCTGGTTTCACCCTCCTCTGTGTGGATAAACTTGGAACTTGACCCTTCCTGCCCACCATAAGAAGCTTGTGAGCCCAGGGTCATATCTTTACCCCACAACAGGGTTCAGTTACATTCAGAGTCCCCCAGGGTCACATCTGGCATTTGCAAGTTGGGAGGCCCACACATGTATTTTACATATAATTTGCATGATGGCTGCATCTGGTTTGCATGTGTTCATGCTGAGAGGCCATCAGCACTGCACAATGTTGAAGCTGCTTCTAAGCCACTCTCACTCAATGAAGTGCATCTGGGCTTTATAGAGTCCAGGTTTTATGATTCCAGGGCTCTCTCCCTGGCCCTCACCTCTGGGCTGTGCATCTAACGGCTCAGGATACTGAGCTATAGTTTTGTCTAGCTGGAAGGGGCCAATGCAAGCTGCTGCTCCAGAAACTTGTGTGGATTTGACAGTCATCCTTTTTGATGATATAGGTGTAGTCCAAACGCTGATTGAGCTTTGACCAAGCCGGTATTGTAAGGAGAACGTGAACCTGAACAAAGGATGGTGTCACACGTGTCACACAAAACTTCCAACCTTAGCCTGAAGTGCAGGGAGGCCCAGGTGTACACAAACAGAAAGAGGAGATGGGGAAGTGGTGCTGCACACAGAGGATGGTCTAAGTGGAGTCAGGAGCCCACGCCTTAGTGTGTGTGCCTCCACATTTGGTTAGGGGAGCGCTGCTGTGCCTCTCTGAGCAGCAGGGGCTCATCTGTTAGGAGGACTCCTGCCACAGAGCTGGCAGAGTGTCAGCTTTCTATTTCTGTCTCTTTTAGGGGAGCTACATTCCATAAACTTTGTGTGGCTTTCAATAATCTTATTGGATGAGCTCTGCATAAACAAGGAACAATATGCCCTGGGTGAGGCAAAAGGAAGAAGACAGGGACCTCGCTTCTAGCTGATGCATGGAGGTAAAGAAGGGGGTGGGTCTCAAGCTTAAGGATACCACGCAGCAGAACCCCAGGCTCACAAGTGAACCTGCCTCTCTACATCTTCCTGTGATCCACACTCTTTCGTTCTGCCCCAGGAGGCCCAGAGAGGAAGGAGAGGAGCTCCAGTGTCCATCAGAGGCTCTCACTCATGCACCACCATCACCACTACACCCTCTCAACTACGGAAGAATTCTAAATACAAGAGTTTACTTCTATGTCTGTCCAGGATGCTCATGTCAACTGGACAGCATCCTTGGTTACATCTGTTGCCAGGACTATGAAGCAGGGAGTGTATATACATGTATGTGCCTCTGTGAGGTATGTGTGCCTCTGTGGGGGGGGGGAGGTGTATGTGAGAGAGTGATCGTGTAGCCAAGTGTGTGTGGATATGGCTGTACTTGTCATGTGAGCAAACAAGGCTGTACTTGTCATGTATGTGATGCCTCCTTTGTCTCCATCCAGGTGGAGAAACTCCGCCTGAGTCAGGGAGGACATGACTGTCTGCCTCCCTCTCCTGCCTCCAGCCTCCCTAGGTTTCCTGTCTGGCAGATGCAAAGTGGCCTCATCGTCCACAGGGAGACCCCAGTCTCTGGCTATATCCAGCCAAGACCCTGAGCATCTCCCTGTGCCGACATCCTCCTCCTCCACCGGGATGGGGCCCAGGCCCTGGCTCCCCAAACTGTTCCAATTAAAAAAGAAGCCTGATTTTGATGTCAGCCACCTGGGAAGGGGAAGTAGGGCCCATCTGTCCTTCCAGCCCCCTGTTACATGGACATTCTCAAGTTCAAACAGGGTCCAGCCTCCTTCCTGTGAGTTGTGGGCCCCACATCTGGGGCTAGGAAGGGAGTGAAAGGAAGGGGTGGGACCCCTTGGAAAAAGATCACAGCTTCTGGGATGGGGGAGTTTTCTCCCAGAGCCAGCTGGGTGGTGCTGCCAAGCAGTCAGAACCCAGCCTGGGGAGAGGAACTGAGCTCAGTTCATTTGCCCCTCAGATGTCTCTCACTTTCTGCAGAGTAGAAAGTCAATGGTTTCAACATCAAGAGTGCATTATGTATTTGCATCCAGAAAAATGGTTCCTAGCGTCTCTGTTAAAGGTTAGAGAATTTAGTAGAACACTCAGTGGTTTTGGAAAGAAGGAACGTCACGTAGTTGCCCAATCTGTTTGAGTTAGCTCAAATGGTGGATTATCAGAAGCAGATAGAGGATGCTATGGCTTGTCACTAAATGGCTATACACCATGTTTCATAAGCACTATAGCCCTTAGTCTCTAGCCTACTCTCCCCACAAGTCTTCTCCTCACTTCCTCCTGATCCCCACAGAGCTATGACTATAGTGTGCCCTGGTGTGTCTGCTCCTTACATCCGAAGGCCCCTGCAATGGACTGAATAGAGTCCCCCTCCCCCTACAATTCAGTTCCATCAGCACCCCAGATTGTGACCTTATTTGGAAAAAGGGTCTTTGCAGAAATATTTACTTAAGATGAAGCTATTTGGGGCCCTAAATTCAATGGGTGCTGTCCTTATAAGAAGAGGACACACAAATACAGGAAAAGGGCGTGTAAAAAGTGTGAAGGTACAAGCAGGGATCGGAGTGGTGCCGATATCAGCCAAAGAATGCCACAATTGTCAAGAGCTACCAGAAGCAGGAAGGGGCAAAGGAGGATTCTACCCTAGAGCCTTCGGAGGGTGTGTGGCCCAGCTAATACATTGACTCTAGACTTTCAGCATCCAGAAATGCGGGACAATAAATTGCTGTTATTTCTAAACCACCAAGCTGATCATGATGGCAGTCCTAGAAATAAGCACACGTATGCCTTGAAGAGGATTCTTTTCCTGTGTTCCACCATTCCAGAGCTCAGAAGAAGGGACAATTAGCATGGGTTCGGTCAGGCATCTGCTCTGTGGACCACCTAGGAGAGGACAGGGCATAGATGTGGGATGAGAGCTGCTTCTTCAGCATCCTTGATACCATCACTTCTCAAACACCTCAGCTCTTACTGCAGGAAGAGACTGGGGCTAGGGAAATGGCTCAGTCAGTAAAGTGCTTTTACTGTGTAAACATGAGGACCTGAATTTGATCCCAGAACTCATG